CCCGCGCGTCTGCATTTGGCTTCGCTGAGCGCAGCTATGCTGAGCGTATCGGTGTGCAAGCCCTGGAGGCCAGGGCGGAGACGCGTGCACGGCGCGACGCCCAGCCCGAGGATGAACTCGGGTGACGTTGGGAGGGTTGGGTGTCCTGTCGGCGGGACCCGCCCGTGGTGGAGCGCAGCCCCAGGCGGGGAACCGCAGCTCTTCTCGGGTGGGTACCCCGCCTCAGTTTTCCTTCTCTCTCCTCCCTCCCCCTCCTCCCCCTCCTCCCCCTCCTCCTCCTCTTTCCCTCCTCCTCCGTATCCTCCTCCTCCTCCTCCTCCTCCTCCTCCTCCTCCTCCTCCTCCTCCTCCCCCTCCTTCTAATCCTTGACTCCTCCCTTTCTGGGCGTCGAACCTCCCCGCGCGTCGCTGGCGAGGGCCGTCCTCGCCTTCGCCGCGGCCGTCGGCGAGGAGTTCGCCGGGAAGGCGGGGCCCTTCCAGGGGCGGCCTCGTTTGGGGTGCCCATCCGCCCATCCGCCTCCTCCCTCGCCCCTTCGATCCTCAATCCTCGATCCTCGATCGTCGTCGTCGTCGTCGTCGGCGGCGGCGGCGGCGGCCGCCGCGTCGTCGGCGTCGTTGGCGTCGTCGGCGTCGTCGTTCCCCTCCTCCTCCTCCTCCTCCGCCTCCTCCTCCTTCTCCTCCTCCTCCTCCTCCTCCTCCTCCTCCTCCTCCTCCTGTTCGTCGTCGACACCTCCCAGTGCTCTGGAGGCGGAGGGTGCAGGACGCCAGAAGGGCCCCACAACGGCACGGGAGGAGCCCAAGACGGGCCCAGACGCCCCAGACGCCCCCGTGGGGCTCTCCAAGGCGCCCCAAGGGGGCCCCAGGAAGGCCCCTGGAGAGCTCCAAATCGCCAACAGGCCAACAGAGCCACCTGTACCTACCTGACGCCACGCTGGCCCCACGACGGCCCCAGGAGGGCCACTCAGCCAGGCCCCCGCTTTGCTCTTTCTCTTCGCCTTGCGTCTCTCGCTTGCCTTCTCGATCATGGGGCGCACACTTTTTGGGCTGCCCGCTTCAGGAGGTAATCACGCTTGCCTCGCTGAGTTGCGTTGCCGTTCGAGTGCCCTCTCCTGAATTCTTTGTCGCTGACGCGCTCTTGGTCAGCCGATGTGCTGGCGGGCGGGCGGGGCGTGCATCATTGCCGTCCAGATACCACCGTAGGGTCTGTGCCGCCTGAAAAAAATTACGCTACAGAGGAACCCCACATACTTGTAATGTATTTTGCGTGATGATAGCTGACGTGACGTTGCGAGAATAATGCAGGTGGCCGTTGCTTCGCCGATGCCGTTGGTGGCGCCAGTCAAGCCCTGGGAGCTTGAGTACTCTGATGGGATCCAGGAACGGCACAAGCTTGGGCGTTACTCGCTAACCGCCACTTTGATCCCACCAGCTGGCTGGGCCTTCCACGTCACGCAAAGAGTCGATGCCGCGCTCAGGAACTACCCCTGTAGTGTCGAGGAAGTGCCACGCCTGCCAGGCTTTGCGAGCCCGAAAAGGATAGAGAGACCACCACCAGCGCACCCCCTGTGGTGTCGAGGAAATGCCACGCCTGCCACGCTTTGCGAGCCCGAAACGGATAAGGGGACCGCCCCCAGCGCATTCCCTGTAGTGTCGAGGAACTGCCAAGCCTGCCACGCTTTGCGAGGCCGAAGCGGATAGGGAGACCACCCCGGACCCCCAGCGCACCCGCTGTGGTGTCGAGGAACTGCCACGCCTACCACGCTTTGCGAGCCCGAAACGGATAGGGAGACCACCCCCAGCGCCCCCCCTGTGGCGTCGGGGCATTGCAATGCCTGCCACGCTTTGCGAGCCCGAAACGGATAGGGAGACCACCCCCAGCGCACCCCGTGTGGTTTCGAGCAAATGCCACGCTTTCCACGATTTGCGAGCCCGAAACGGATAGGGAGACCACCCCCAGCGCACCCCCTTATGGTGTCGAGCAACTGCAACGCCTGCCACGCTTTGCGAGCCCGAAGCGGATAGGGAGACCACCCCCAGCGCACCCCCTGGTGTCGAGAAAGTGCCACGCTTGCCACGCTTTGCGAGCCCGAAACTCACCACCCACCAAACCACCCCAACCCAACCCGAAGGGCCCAAATTTATCCTCGATTTCCAGTGGGGGGGGGGTCGGGGAACATCGAAAAAACACATGGGATCCGTACCCCCCCAACCCGAAATTCGGGTCGAATTCGGGCCTTCGGGTTGGGTTGGGGTGGTCTGGTAGGTAGTCAGAAACGGATAGGGAGAACACCCCCAGCGTACCCCTTGTGGTGTCGAGAACGTGCCACGCTTGCCACGCTTTGCGAGCCCGAAACAGATAGGGAGACCACCCCAACGCACCCCCCTGTGGTGTCGAGGAAATGCCACGCTTGCAAGGCTTTGCGAGACCGAAACGGAGAGGGAGACCCCCCCAGCGCACCCCCTGTGGTGTCGAGGGAGTGCCACGCCTGCTATGCTTTGCAAGCCCGAATGTGCGTGTCATGTGTATTGATGCGTGTTCGGCTGTATCTGGGCGTGTGTCTCATGCGGGTGTCCAGTATGTGTGGGTGCATGATGCGGTGAACATGCCAGGCGTGCACTGGCGTTGCTCGTTTGTGTGTGTGTGTGTGTGTGTGTGTGTGTATGTGTGTGTGTGTATGTGTGTGTGTGTGTGTGTGAGAGTCTGCCTGTCTGTGTGTGTGTGGGTGTTTGTTTGTGTGAGTGTGTGTGTCTGTGTGTGTGTGTGTGTGTGTCTGTGTGTGTGTGTCTTTGTGTGTATGCGTGTATGTGTGTGTGTGTTTTTGTGTGTGTGTGTGTGTGTGTCTGTGTGTATACGAGTATATGTATGCGTGTATGCGTGCGGCTGCTTGTAGCCGCGCGTCTCACGTACGCGCCGTGCGTGTGTTGCGCATGGGTGAGGAGAGGAATGGGGAGGAGGACAGGAAGAGAGAGGTGAGGTGTGAGCGTCGTGGGCGGGGTGCGGGAGGGAAGAAAACCCAACCCCACTAAGCATGTGGAGAACAAGTCAGGCTCCCAACAGAGCCCCCGGATGCCCCAAACACGGCCCCAGCAATGCCCCAAAAGCAACCCGAACGAGCGTCGAAAGGGTCCCAAGAGGTTCTCCCTCAACCGTCAAACGGCGGCGGGCGAGGGGGGAAATGAGCAGGAGAAAACCTTCTCAGAAGATGGCGGGGCTTCTCGGAAACCCTCGCGCCTTCTGGTCTTCTATGTCTTCGGGGAAGCCGCAGAAAACTCATCAGAAGGCGAGGCGACTTCCTAGTTCTGAGCCTTCTGAGAAGGCCCGCTTTTTCTCACTTCCCCTTCGCTCGCCGCCGAATCAACTCCGAGGCTTTGTCCAACAAGAGGAAGAGGAGGAGGAGGAGGACGAGGAGGAGGAGGAGTAGGAAGAGGAGGAGGGATTGTCATCAGCCGTGTCTCGTCCTTCTCCTCCATGGTTGGCCGTGGGCGGCCACGGCGCCGTATTGCAAGCCTTACACCCAGTCCACAGGCGACGTGGGGCAGGGGAAGGGGTAATCCCTTCCCCAAGGGAAAGAAGGGGATTGACAGATGCAGCCCTTGGAACCACCTACGCCCAGAGTCAAGGGCCCGACCCCGATAACAGGCGTTTACTAAACGGTCCCAGGCGTTTACAACACAGCCCTGCCCTGTTTGATTTCTCCCTTGGGTGCGTTTACTATACTTCTTCGCTTGTCGGGGTTCTTCTTGTGAGGATGGACTTTTGCTTTCTACAAATGTCTGGTGGGATTATGAGGAAAGTGTAAGGCGGTTCGTTTTCGTAACGGGGCTCCCGCCTGAACGGCACGCCGATGGGTTACTCGTCTTTCAAGGTGCCCGTCTCGCGTTGACAAGGAATGTCAGTAGGGACTCACGATGAGCGGAATTAGGACGGGAGGGTATGCTGCAGCGTCGTTGATGTATCATGTATTTATCTTGGTCTTCCTCCTCGTCATCTTCCTGCTGCTCCTCCTCCTCCTCCTCCTCATCATTATCATCATCATCATCATCATCATCATCATCATCATCATCATCATCATCATCATCATCATCATCATCATCATCATCATCATCATCATCATCATCATCATCATCATCCCTCATGCCCCTCCTGGCGGCGCGCGCTGGACGAGGAAGGATATTGAATATGAGGAAGAATGAGAGATGATGGGAGAAGGAGGAGGGAAGAGAGGTGAGGAGGGAGGGAGGGAGGAATGGAGAGAAGGAGGAATGAGAACGGGGAGGATAAGGATGAGGGGTAGGAGGAGGAGGAGGAGGAGGAGGAGGAGGAGGAGGAGGAGGAGGAGGAGGAGGAGGAGGAGGAGGAGGAGGAGAAAGAGACTTCTTCGGATCCCCTCCCCCTCGCCTCCCTCCCCCCTTCCTCTTTTCCTCCCCCCCTTCTCCTTCCCCCCCTGGCACAGGGCGCGAACGTGATCCTCGGTCCCGGCGTGGACGTGTCGCGAGTGGCTCGCAACGGCCGCAACTTCGAGTACCTGTCGGGGGAGGACCCTCGTGCCGCGAACAAATTGCGACGGAAGGTTTTCCCCAGAAAGGGCGTAGGCCCAGGCTTGTTCCCTTGAATGGGCTCGGGCCCAGGGTTCTCTTTTAGTGTGGTAAACTTGCACCCAGTGCCAGGTTCGAACAGGGCTGGCGGATTTGTTTCTGAAGACCGGCGGATACATAGCGAGATCGAAGAGGACCGGCGGATGAAGTTTTGATAATTTCCTGAGCGAAACGTCGATTTTTCCAATTCCGATCAATAGGACATAGGAAAGTTAACATATTCGTTTGTTGCGGATACCTCGAGCGAAACGCTTGTTTTGCAGAATTTGTTGAGGTTGTCTTGAGCGATACGCTTTTTGTGTTCCTACAGATTGCTCCACTCCCGAGGGCCAGAATTCAGAGGCTGTCTCAGACAAAATGGTTGTTTTCACGTGCCCAGGTCGCCCAGGAGGGTATCTAATATGGTGGTCCCGAGCTGGAACCGCGTGTTTCTACGTGTCCGGGCCACCCAGGGGTATCTAACATGGTGGTCCTTAGCTGGAGCCATGTGTTTTTACGTGCCCAGGCCACCCAGAGGGGTATCTAACATGATGGTGCCTAGCTGGATCCACGTGTCTTTACGTGTCCAGGCCACCCGGGGGGGCAATTAGTATGGTTGCCCCGAGCAGGAGCTGTGTGTTTTTACGCGCGTGGGCCACCCAAGGGGGGGAATCTAACATGTGGTTGCCTGGGCGTCCCCAGCGTGAGCCCACAATAGCCAGACAAAATCAATACATCGACACCAGATGAGTAATAACCTGACACAGTTTCGTCGGCTGGTGATTTTCCAGATTTGCCACTGGGGCATCTAACATGGTGGTCCCGAGCTGGAGCCACGTGTTTTCGCGGGTCCAGGCTTCCCATGTGCATACCTAACACAGTGGCCCCGAGCTGGAACCGCGGTCGCTGTCGTTGCCGTCCGTCGTTGTCTTCGGCGTTTCGGCCCGCCACGTCTCGATGCATTTCGCCTCGGTTTGGACTCGCCCTCATGATTTCGCCTTGCTGCGGGACATAATCCTATCATAATGTCTCGCCTGCAATCGGCTCTGGGCGAGCGATGCGCCCATGCAGCCCGAGCTTGAGGCCCAGCTCAGTTCCGTCGGGGTTCGGACGCCAGGGAAGGTTTGATCCACGACGCCGCGGAATGCAGAACTGCTCAGATTCGCGCCCTTTTCGGCTCGTCCCACTCCCGAGCTGAATTGGATCTTGAGCTCGAGCTGGTCGAGCGCCCCGCGCGTTTCGATTGCGGCCAGGTCTGGGTTATGCGTTTAGGCAGCTCGAGATTAAGATCCAGATCAGTTCGATCGGGATTCTGACGCCACGGACGATCTGATCCACAATGTACTACAGCGCCGCACTTCGACGAGGCATGGCGCGTCTCAGTTCAGCACAGCACAGCACAGCCCCTGGCACTGTACATCGCCATCGCTACCTTGAGCGTTGCAATTGCCCGTCGCCCAAATGTTGTGTCTTGAGCAATTTCCATGCGTCACATTTCCATATCCCTTTCCAGGTTCGTGGGTCGATCATGTCTTTAGTATGGGAAGCCTGACTCCCAGTACCACGCTCGATAAAAAACAAGGTCACGTCCACCCTTGTGTAGAACAAGTGCGTTTCGCGCTTGCGCGCTCGAAGAAAGTGCGCCCCCCCCTCGGGTCCTAGATACATAACTGGGTCCGCAGCCCCTTGTTTTTCTTTGTGAAAAGGTGTTCCGCATATTCATCGACAAATATCAAAGTCTGGAGGCCTTCGGACTTACCAGAAACATTGAACATGTTGACCTTCTCTGTGCCCGCTCGAGGACGGCGCGTCCTGCGCGCAGAATTCTCAAGGATGTCTTAAGCAAAACGCTTGCTTTGCAGTACTTGAAGGGCCTGGGCGCCCCAGGATGCCTAAGTGGTTCTGGGAGTGCGGACGCCGCGTAATTTAGGAGGGATCCTGGCCCTGGAAGTGCGGACACAGCGTAATGTGAAGGGATCGTGGCCCTGGGAGCGCGGATGCCGAGCAATTTACGAGGGATCGTGGCCCTGGGAGCGTGGACGCAGCGCAATTTGGGAGGGTTTGTGTTCTTGTGGAACAAGCGCAGAGTAATCTACTAGGGGTCCTGACCCTGGGAGCGCGGGCGCAGCGTAATTTGCTAGGAATCGTGGCCCCGTGAGTGCTCAACCATCGTTATTTACAATGGATCGTGGCCCTGGCTGTGCGGGCGCCGTGCAATTTTCAAGGATCGTGGCTCTGGGAGCGCGGGCGCAGTGCAATTTACCAGGGATCGTGGCCCTGGGAGCGTGGCTCCGGTGTAATTTGCAAAGGAACGTGGCCCTGGGAGCGCAAATCCGGTGTAATTAGCAAGGGGTCTTGGCCCCGGGAGCGCGAACCCAGCGTGATTCACACGGGATCGGGGCTTTTGGAGCGCGGACGCAGACTAATCTAAGAGGATTCGCGCCTTTGGGTCCAGTGGTGAATTTTCAGGCAACGGTGGGGGGGCCGAAAGGCGCCACCCGGATACATATCCCAATGCAGAACATATTCTATTCTGCTCTGGGGCAATCTCCGCGGAGCGCTTCGTGGCTCTGGGAGCGCGGACGCAGCGTGATTTACTAGGGATTTTAGCCGTGGGAGCGCGGACGCAGCGTAATTTACGAGGGATCGTGACCCAAAAAGTGAGATTGATAGTGAGATCGATAGTGAGATCGACAGGTGTCCCGTGGTGTCCCGTGGTGTCCCGTGGTGTCACGTTGAGTGAGATCGATAGTGAGATCGATGGTGAGATCGATGTGGTGTCCCGAGGTGTCCCGTGGTGTCCCGTGGTGTCCTATGGTGTCCCGCTGAGTGAGATCGATAGTGAGATCGATAGTGAGACCGATAGTGAGATCGAGAGGTGTCCCGCGGTGTCCCGTAGTGTCCCGCCGTGGCCCTTGGTGTCCCGTGGTGTCCCGTGGAGTGAGATCGATAGTGAGATCGATAGTGAGATCGACAAGTGTCCCGTGGTGTCCCGTGGTGTCCCGCGGTGTCCCGTTGAGTGAGATCGATAGTGAGATCGATTGAGTCAGATGTTGGTTCCGCCCCCTCCACCCCCCCCACAACCTCTTATCACCCGAAGGATGGTCGTATAGGTAATGATTCTGATGATGATGGTGGTGAGGATCAGGATGAGGATGCTAATGCTGCTGATGATGACGATGATGCTAATGCTGCTGCGGCTGATGATGATGATGATGATGATGATGTTGATGTTGATGATGATGATGATGATGATGATGATGATGATGATGATGATGATGATTGGTGGTGGTGGTGGTGATGACGACGATGACGATAACGATAACGATGACGATGATGATGATGATGATGATGAGGATGATGATGATGATGGTGGTCGTGTTGATGATGATGCTGCTGCTTGTGATGATAATACAGTTGATGCCGTTGACGACGATGATGATGATGGTGGCGAGGATGGTTGTGACCATGATGCTGATGATGATGATGATGACGACTACGACGATGCCGACGATGATGATGCTGCTGATAGTTCTGATGGTGATGATACTGATAGAGAGGATGCTGGTTGTGGTGGTGGTGCTGCTGATAATGATGCTGATGATGCTGCTGATGATGCTGCTGATGATGATGCTGGTGAGGAAGATGATGATGAGGATGATGCTGCTGCTGATGCTGATGATGCCGCTGCTGCTGAGGATGATTATTACGATGATGATGATGATGAATTTGCTGATGCTGCTGCCTCTGCTGCTGATGATGTTGATGACAACGATGCTGATTCTGATGATGATACTGATGATGCTGCTGCTGATGATGAGGCTGATGCTGATGACGATGAGGATGATGCTGATACTGCTGATGCTGATGATGAAGATGACGATGATGATGCTGATGATGATGATGATGATGATGATGATGATGCTTATTCTTATTCTTATTTCTAGCACTATTAGGTTGAATTATTTGTTTTTATTATTTTATTCTTTAGTATTCGTATTACCCCACTGTTATGGTTTAGTATTATTTGTTTCACGTCTAGTGTGTTTCGTCTCATTTTAATGTTTCTGAGGATGTGGATGACGAGGATGGTGATGATGAGGCAGGGCAAGGAGGAGGTGGAGGAGGAGCAGGAAGAGGATGAGGAGGAGGAGGAGGAGGAAGAGGAGGATGAGGAGGAGGAGGAAGAGGAGGAGGAGGAGGAAGAGGAGGAGGAGGAGGAGGAGGAGGAGGAGGAGGACGTGCGTCATCCCAGCTGGTAACCGTATGCACGGAAGTACGTATGCACGCGAAGACGCAAGCACAGTCGATCGCTCGAGGGTTTGGGTGCTCTTTGTTTTTCTTGGCCCCCCTGGGGGGCGTCCTCGCCGCTGTTGGGGGCAGTCGATTACTGACGAGGGGGGAGGGGTGCACTTGTGATATGGGGGAGGGGGGCGGGGAGAGGGACAAGGGCATGGGAGGAAGACTTCCTTCGTCTTCCCCGCCTCCCTCTCCCGCTCTCCGTGCTCTTCCCCATCTTTATCCCTGTTTTCCTCCTCCTCCTCCTCCCTTATTCTGCCCTTCCTCCCCCTCCCCCCTCTCCCCCCGTTCCTCTTCTTCCACCGCCTATTCTTCTCCCCCTCCTCTCCCCTCGTCCCTTCTGTCAGGTTCGAATGGCACCTCTTCTAGCCAGTCTCTCGGACCTCAGGATCCCTACCTCGGCTCGGTGCTGGCCAGGTCGTACGTCAGAGGGGTCCAGTCGAAGGGCGTCGCCGCGGTGATGAAGCACTGGATCGTCTCTCCCTCCTCCCTCCCCCTCCTCCCTCCTCCCTCCTCCCCCCCTCCTCCTTCCCTCCTCCCTCCTCCCTCCCTCCCTCCCCTCCATCCCTCCCTCCCTCCCTCCCTCCCTCCCTCCCTCCCTCCTGCCTCCTCCCTCCTTCCGCCTCCCTTCCTCTTCCCTCCTCCCTCCCGCCTCCTGCCCTCTGCCTCTTGCCTCCTCCTCCTCCTCCTAAAACGCTGAGGCGCTGAGACGCCGATGGCAGTGATGCTCGTCGAACGCTGCCGCTCCTCCTCCTCCTCCTCCTCCTCCTCCTCCTCCTCCTCCTCCTCCTCCCCCCTTCTCCCTCCTCGTCCTCAGCCTCCTCCTCCTCCTCCTCTCTTCCCCCTCCTCGTCCTCTTCCTCTCTCTCTCTCTCTCTCCCCCCTTCCCTCCCTTCCGATGACGATGCTCTCCGACGGCGACACTGTTCGTTGACGAAGGCCACGGCGACGGCGACGACGGCTCCTCTAGGGATGGGGGTTACATGCAGAAATAGGTGATCGTGAGGGAGGGGGAGGCCCAGGGGGCTGGGCTGGAGAGAGGCAGGGAGGGGAAGGATGGAGGGGGGAGGGGAGGGACGAGGGGAGCGGGAGGTGGGAAAGAAGGGGAGAGATGGCTCCGTGCGCTTCTCGGCCCCTTGCCGCCCCTCTGCCTGCACCAGCGCCTCTTCCTCCGCCCCCTCCTTCCATCGTTTTCTCTTCCTTTCTCTCCTCCTCCTCCTCGTCCTCCTCGTCCTCCTCGTCCTCGTCCTCCTCTCCCCCTTCTCTTCGTCCTCTCCACCCTGCGCCCTCTCCATTTCTCCTTTCCTTTCGCCCTCTTCCTTCTCCCCCTTGCCCTCCATCCCCTCCTTGTCCTTCCTTTCCCTTCTCCTTCTCCTCTGACCTGTTCCGTCTCCATCTCCACCTTCTCTTCTCTTCACCTCTTTTCCTCCTCTTTCGCTCTCTTTCCCTCTCTACTCCTTCCTTCCTCCCGTCCGCAGGGTTTTCAACGTGCAGGAGACGAACCGTGAGTCCGAGTCCTCCGTGGTCGACGAGAAGACAGCCTGGCATCTTTATCCTCCCCGCTTTTTCACCTTCTCGTCCTGCAGCTCCACCTTTTCCTCTGCCTCCTTATCTTCCTTCGTCGTCGTCGTCGTCGTCGTCGTAGTCGTCGTCGTCGTCGTCGTCGTCGTGGTCGTGGTCGTGGTCGTCGTCGTCGTCGTCGTCGTCGTCGCCGCTGGGACAGCGGGGGGGCTAAGACGTTCGACCCCGACGGCTCCAGAGATCCCCAGCTCTTGCATGCCCTGTCTCTCCGCCTCCTATTTCACCTCGGTGGCAGGGATAAGGTGCTGGCACGCTAAACTTTCAGTCCCATGGGACTGTCAGGGATCCGCTTTGGGGAGCGCCTCATTCGCTGACTCACTCCTCATCCCTCGTTCCCCTTCCCTTCCCCATCTCCCTCCTCCTCCTCCTCCTCCTCCTCCTCCTTCCCTCCTCCACCTCGTGAGTCGTCGTTCCACACTTACTCAGTATGAGTGCTGCTCTCCTCCCTCTCCCGAAGACGGCCTGGGAGTGGCCCGCACCCCCTCCGGCGCATGATTTTTCCCGGAAAGGGGTCCACCCCAGACTTATGTCGGGCCTGTCCTTTTACAGGAGGAGTATTCAAAAATAGTCAAACACATAGTCTGGGGACGATATTTTGAATATTTTTTGATCATCGTTTTTAGGTTTTTCGATTTTTTATTGTTCCTCGAGTATCGGCCTGTAGGGGGACAGGCCCGACCTAAAGGTAGACCCGCCCCTCGGTGCCAGGTTCGAAGAGGGCTGGAAGATTTCCGCTCGATTCAAAACGAGGTAGATTCCCAGTTTGTTCCCAGAGAGGGCGGGGGCCCAGAGTTGTTCTTTAGTCGGTGAATTGTCGCCTGGTCCCATGCTGAGGTGGGCCGGCGAATTCCCGTTCGATGAGGAATGAGGTGAAGTCCCACTCGGCGTGGAGAAAATACGTTTCGCGCGTGCCCGCTCGAGGAAAATGTGCCGCCCATCTCAGATCCTCGTTGCCTACTTGGGTCTGCAGACCCCCGCTTTCCATTGTAAACACAAGGGTGCGGAGCGTTTTGCGCAGAATCCCCACTAAATAATGAGGTTCGGAGATCCGGATTTTTTATAGAAAAAATGCGGAACAGTTGACTTTTTGCGTGCAGGCTCGAGGATGGCGCGTCCTCCGCGCAGGAATGTCGAGGATGTCTCGAGCACCGCGCTTGATTTGCAGAAGGAATGTTGGCTTTTTGCGTTCCCGCTCGAGGATGGCACGCCCTGCATGCCGAATACCTAAGGATGTCTGGAGTAAAACGGCTGTTTCGCAGCGATGAAAATGCCTGGGCGCCCCAGGATGCCCAGGCGGTTCTTGAAGTGGGGTCGAACCCTTACTTACGAGCGATCGTGGCCTTGGGACCGCGGACGCCATGTAATTTGCAAAGGGTCCTGGCCCTGGGAGTGCGGACGCAGCGTAGTTGACGAGGGATCCTGGCCACGGAGGCGCGAATCCAGTGCAATTTACAAGGAATCGTGGCCCTGGGGGTGCAGACGCAGTCGTATTTACGAGGGACCGCGGCCCTGAGGCCGCGGACACAATGTAAGTTACAAGGGATCGTGGCCCTGGCAGCGCGGACGCAGGTTCATTTGCGAGGGATGCTGGCCCAAACCATGTGTTTTTACATGGGCTCCTTTCGCACGTGAGCAAACATCGGAGGATGTCTGGGGCGAGGGCTTCATTCGTGAGTGAATTGCGGGGTTGTCTCGAGCGGGGGCCCCGTGCTGTAGAGCTCCAGGAGGAGGAGGAGGAGGCGACGGAGGAGGCGAAGGATGAGCTGAAACATTTTTTAAGCTTGAAGCAAAAGAAAATGGGTTCCAAACCATGTGCTTTTACATCGATTCCCGTCGCCCGTGAGCTCAAACCAAATGTTTTTACATTGGCGCCATGTGTTTTCATATGGGTTCGTTTCGTCCGTGAGCCCGAACTATTTATTTTTACATGAGCTCTCTTCGCCCATGAGCCACAGCCGTTTGTTTTTACATTAGTTTCCAGACGCTCGTGAGCTCAGACCATGTGCTTTTACATGGTTTCCTGTCGCCCGTGAGCCACAGCCATGAATGTTTACATGGGTTCCTTTCGCCCGTGGGCCCAAACTGTGTGTTCTAACGTGGGTTCCTTTCGCCCGTGAACGCAAGCCATGCTTTTACACGGGTTCCTTTCGTCCGTGTGCCAACACCATGTGTGTTTACATTGATTCTTTTCGCCCGTGAGCCAAAATTGTTTCGGTTCGCCGCGTTTCGGTCTGTTAATTCACTGTACGTTTCGCCTCGGCCCCCCTCTTGGTCCGTCCCGACTCGGAACTGAATCGGATGTTGAGCGCGAGCTGGTTGAGCGCCCCGTGCGTTTCGACTACAACCAGCTCGAGCTCTGCATTCAGGCAGCTCGAACTTAAGACCTAAATCAGTTCGGCCAGGATTTTGACGCCAGGAACGACGTGATCCACAACGCCAAAGAGCACAGCACAGTTCAATGCGGCATGGTACATTTAGATTCGCCAAAGCACAGCACAGCCCCTGGCACAGCACATCACCATCTATACCTTCAGACTCGTAATTGCCCATCGCCCAACTTTGATGTCTTGATAACATTTCCACGCGTCGCGTTTCTATGTATGGTCCAGGATCTGGCCCCCCCCTCTCCTGCTGATGCCATCGGCCCCCCCCTCCGCGCGATGGCCCCCCCCCCCTGGATGTGGTGTGGTGCTGTGGGTGTGGCGTGTGTGGCGTGGTATTGCGGTGCTCTAGGAGAGCTCCGGAGGTCGTCGTCGTCGTCGCTGCCACCGTCGTCCTCGTCAGAGGGCTTTGGAGGTCGGCGGCGGCGCCGCCGCCGCCGCCGTCGTCGTCGTCGCCGTCGTCGTCGTCGTCGTCGCCGTCGTCGTCGTCGTCGTCGTCGTCGTCGTCGTCGTCGTCGTCGTCGTCGTCGTCGTCGTCGTCGGTCGTCGTCGTCGTCGTCGTCGTCGTCGGCGTCGTCGTCGTCGTCGCTGTCGTCGTCGTCGTCGTCGTCGTTGTCGCCGTCATCGTCGTCGCCGTCGTCGTCGTCGCCGTCGCCGTCGTCGTCGTCGTCACCGTCGTCGTCGTCGTCGCCGTCGTCGTCGTGGTCGTGGTCGCCGTCGTCGTCGTCTTCGTTGTCGTCGTCGTCGTCGTCGTCGTTGTCGCCGCCGTCGTCGTCGTCGTCGTCGTCGTCGTCGTCGTCGTCGTCGTCGTCGTCGTCGTCGTCGTCGTTGTCTCCTGCCCATCCCATCAGTGGGGGGGGGGCCCGAGTGACCCTGAGACCCATCCCATTTTGGGGGGGGCCCGTGGGCCCCGAGCCCGGGATCATGTATGCCTCTCCGGGGGGTTCGTGGGTCGATCATGCTGGGAGTTCCAGGTCCGCTGTGACACGCATCCGCGGATAGAGCAATAATCAGCGTAATATAATGGGATGTTTGGGAGGAGAAGGATGCCAGATTTGGCGCGAGTGCACCTAGCTTGCCACCACCCTCTCTCCCTACTCCTCTCCCTCCCCATCCCCTTCTCCGCCTCCCTCTCTCTCCCTCACCCCTCCACTTACCTATCCTCTTTCTTGTCACCCCCCTTCCTCCTTCGCCTCCTCTTCCTCCTCCTCCTCCTCCTCCTCTCCCTCCTCCTCCTCCTCCTCCTCTTCATCCTTCTCCTCTCCCTCCTCTTCCTCCTCCTCCTTCTCTGTCGCCTCTTCTTTCTCCTCTCCGTCTCCCTCCTCCTCCACTCGCCCGTCTTTCTCCGCCGCCTCTTTTCCTCCCTCCACGACGCCCTCCTCCTCCTCCTCCTCCTCCTCCTCCTCCTCCTCCTCCTCCTCCTCCTTCTCCTCCCCGAGCCCTCGTCTCTGTTTTGGTTCTCATCGAAACCTCCTCCCGTGCGTCCGAGGCAGCTCTACTACCCGCCGTTCCAGGCTGCGGTGGACGCCGGCGTCTCCGCAGCGATGTGCTCGTACAACAAGATCAGTGGCGTATACTCTTGCTCGAACGAGGATACTCTCTCTCTCTCTCGCTCTCCCACAGGCTTTCATGTTCTCTCTCTGTCACTCTCTCTCTCACACTCCCTCCTCTCTTTCTATGCAAATGCACCTCGTTATCTCTTTCTCTCGGTCTCTCTCTACCTCTCCCTGCAGCTCTGTCGCTCTGTCGATGAGTCTGTCCCTCGACTGTCCCCCCCTCTCGCGCACTCTCACTCCCACTCAAACTTTCTCCCTCTCCCTCTCACTCTTTCACGCTCTGACTCTCTCACTCTCTCACTCTCGCACTCGCTCATTTTCTTACTCTCTCACTCCTTTCACTCTCACTTCCACTCACTCCTCTGACTCCGGCTCTCTCTCTCTCTCTCGCCCTTTTCTTTTTGTTCTCTCTCTCTCTCTCTCTCTCTCCCACACAGCCATCTTGGACCGTCTGTGCAGTCCATCGGACTGCCTTGGACCATTTTGGGCCACACTGGGTCCAGATTGGCACCAAGTTGGAGCCATCTCGGGGCTAGCATGGGACCTGACACGCTTCGCCTCATGGGGGGCATGTCGCCCGCCGTTGGCGGGCTTTCACCCTGACTCGGCCCCAGCGGGGTCCGGAGACCGCCCCGGGCCGCCCTTGCGCGCGCGGACTGGTCATCTGCGCATTCTGAGTTACCTGTGTGGCGGATAGCGGAAAGAGCGAGGTACGAGTGCTGATGTTTCGGTGGGGCGAAGCCTTCTAGGGAGGGGTCCAGGGGAGGTGCGTCGGGCGCGCAACCCGGTGCTAACACGCGCGTCCGGCCCCAAGACGGCCCCAGAGGCGCCCAAGACGGCCTCATATACCCCCCAGACGGCCCCAGAGAGGTCCAAGATGGCTCCAAGACGGCCCGAGAGCGTTCCAAGAGAGCCCAGGACCGCCCAAGAGCGATCCAAGACAGCCTACGGTGGCTTCAAAGACAGTTCGAGAGGGCCCCAAGACGGTCGAGTAGGGACACAAGAGAATCCCTGAGAGGGCCTCAGGAGGCCAAAAACATTGTTTTCGTTAGATTTTGGACGTTTTCTAAAAGTTCTCGCCATTTCGGGCCAAAAACGGCCCAAGACGGCCCAAGAGCCCCCAAAGATCGTCCCAAGGGCCCAGAGGGGCCCCAGAGGCTCCCCAGAGAGCGCCCAGAGGGGTTCCTCAGGGGTACTCTGAGATCTTCAGGGAGCCTCAGGGATCCTCAGATAGGGGTCCTCAGGGGTCCTCAGGGTTCCTCAGGGTTCCTCAGGTGAGGATCCTCAGGGATCCTCAGGTGAGGGATCCTCAGGGTTCCTGAGGGAGCCTCAGTTGAGGATCCTCAGAGATCCGCAGGGATCCTCAGAGATTCTCGGGTGAGGATCCTCAGGGATCCTCAGGTGAGGATCCTCAGGGATCCTCAGGGATCCTCAGGTGAGGATCCTCAGAGTTCCTCAGGTGAGGATCCTCAGGTGAGGATCCTCAGGTGAGGATCCTCAGGTGAGGATCCTCAGGTGAGGATCCTTAGGGATCCCCAGGGATCCGCAGGGATCCTCAGGGTTCGAGTCGACTTCCCCTCCTCACGGGTGCTCCCTTGCATCAGCGCGCGTGGGCAAGGTGCCATCGGCATCCAAGAGTGATTCGCAGGAGATTCCCATTTTTGTTGTTGTTGTTTGGTCGTCCCGCTGTTCTGTTGTACCGTTGTTCGTTGTTCGGGGGGGGGCCCGGGCACCCGGCAGGCGGCTTCGCACCCACCGGGGCAGCTGGCTGCGAGGGACCCAGAGACGGGGCACCTGGCAGCCTGCTTGACCTTGTTGTAGTTGTTGCTGCTGCTGCTGTTGTTGTTGTCGTCGTCGTCGTCGTCGTCGTTGTTGAACATTATTAATTCTAAAGAATAATTATTGTTGGGACCCCTGGTGCACGGCCCCCCTGCGCCGCCTAGGCCGCAGCTACATTTTCATCATTTTCGTGAGGAAGCCTCAGGTAATACGATGTCATCAAGATCCGGTTGTTTTGTTGTAATCCGTTTTCCCTTGCAAAAAACACTATAAAATGACATTTCTTGTTCTAATATAATCAAATTTCAAGAATCCCTTGCAAAAAATAAGGTAAAGTGGACATTCGCGCGCGCAAGACGAAATCCTTCCAAAAGCTTAGTGTTCGGAGCGATTTTAACATAAAAACATCAAAAAACCAATGGTTTTTCAACAAAAAAATGTCAAAATCTCATCCCGCGCGCTCTTGCGGATTCGTAGGAAACCCAACACTTTTTAAACATTTCTGTCAAACGGGCTTTTGCGAGCAACTTTTTCGAACTTCTGCGACAACGGTTGCGCACCTGCCAGGGCCATCATCCCTGTCAAATAATACCATGCGGGACACATTCGTTTTTTCTTCGCGCGCGCACGCCGAAATCTCCAAAAACCATTGGGTTTTTAAGAATTTTAGCACCGCGCATCATAAAATCACACGAATCGCACCGTAGGTCCTCGAAAAACACCTGCACGACTTTTCAAAATTTCCACCCGCGCGCGCTGTCCGAATCCTAAAAAAACCAAGGGTTTTCCAACATTTATGTTACATGAGCTCGCGCGAGCTACTTTCCAACCATATCCTCTCTCTCTTGTGTATTCCCACACCCCTCAGGAATTTGCCCTAAAGATGTGATCAACTATCTTGTGAGTACGTATCATGTGTATCATGTGTATCATGTACCATATGCATCATATGCAACAGATGTTCTGTGGAAGGCTTAACAACTTCTGTGGGTTAACAAGGCTTAGCAACTTCTGTGGGTGTACGAACGTAGGCTTAACAACTTCTGTGGGTGTGTACTCCACGCCAGTGTAGTAGCCACGGTCGTCCGCAGGCCACGAAGTGAAGTGTCCGAACGTCATAGGGCGGGAAGCTGGGTGTGGGTGGTGGCGAAGAGTCGTGTGGATATTTGGTAGAGCTTGCACTGCCCCCCCACAAAGTGGGGGTGTTGGCTGGCGTCGCATGAAAACCCTGGCACTGGTGAGAACACTGAGCGTTCGGGTAAAGTGATTGTTGTTGTTGTTGTTTCTGTTGTTGTTGTTGTTGTTGTTGTTGTTGTTGTTGAAATTTCATTTCTAAAGAATAATTATTGTTGATCCCCCCCCACCGGTGCATACTGTTTTTTCTCAATCGAAGTGTGCCCCTCGACGCTCGCACCCTGTTTTTTGACGGGGAAAGTCTTCCTGGTCAAACTGGCCCCCTGGCCCCCGGGTTACAACAACAACGGTTCTCGCTTGAGACTTCCTTACAATTTAGGCAGGACCCCCGCTCCCGCCCGAGACTTCCTCGCATTTTACTCAGGGATCGCGCTCTCGCTTGGGACTTCCTTACAATTTATTCAGGAATCGCTCTCCCGGCGCTCTGGAGTCGCGCTCTCGCTGGAGACTTGCTTGCAACTTACTGAAGAATAGCCTTGCGTTGGAAATTCTTGCAATTTGCCCAAGCGCCGCGCTCCCGACACCCAGGCACCCAGGAGTCGCGCCCGTTGCGGCCCCGTGTGCATGCCCTTCATGGCCCCGCTGTCGCCATTTGTGTCCCCCTCATTGTCCTACGTGGCCCAGTTGCTATCCTCAGTGGCCGCATAGTTGCCTGCTGTGGCCCCGCATTATCTGCACTTCGTGGCCCCCGCTCGTTCGCACTCTTGGTGGCCCCATACGCATTCCCTTCGTGTCCCCGCTGTCGCCTTTCGTGGCCTACTTCGTGCCCTTCGTGGCCCTGCTGTCGTTCTCTCTCGCTCTCGCTTTCGCTCGTCGTCGCCGTCGTCGCCGCCGTCTTCGACGTCGTCGTCGTCGTCGTCGTCGTCGTCGTCGTCGTCGTGGTCGGTCCCCTGTCCGTCCCTCTTGGGGTCGGGTCGACGGTCCACGGCCGCCCCGCCGATCACCGCTGGCCAGGCCGACGGTCCCCGGCCGCCCCGCCGCTTGCCGGGGCCCGGCCTGCAGGGAAGAAATGTATACCCCCCAAAAGGGGTTCGATCGAAGACGAAGAGGGCGGGTATCGAGGGTTTGGGAAATACGCGTTATTGCACACTCGAGCATATAAGGGCGAACAGTCTTAAAATGATTGTTGTTGTTGTTGTTGTTGTTGTTGTTGTTGTTGTGGTTGTTGTGGTTGTGGTTGTGGTTGTTGTTGTTGTTGTTGTGGTTGTTGTTGTTGTTGTTGCTATTGTTGTTGTTGTTGTTGTTGTTGTTGTTGTTGTTGTTGTTGTTGTTGTTGTTGTTGTTGTTGTTGTTGTTGCTGCTGCTGCTGCTGTTGTTGTTGTTGTTGTGGTTGTTGTTGAATTCTCAATACTGCAGAATAATTATTGTTGATCCCCCCCACCAGTGCATACTGTTTTTTCTCAATCAAAGTGTGCCCCTTGACGCTCGCACCCTGTTTTTTGACAGGGAACGTCTTCCTGGTCAAACTGGCCCACTGGGCCCCGGTTACAACAACAACAACTGCTCCCGCCTGAGACTTCCTTACAATTTAGGCAGGACCCCCGCTCTCGCCCGAGACTTTCTCGCATTTTACTCAGGGATCGCGCTCTCGCTTGGGACTGCCTTGCAATTTATTCAGGGAGCGCTCTCCCAGCGCTCTGGAGTCGCGCTCTCGCTGGAGACTTGCTTGCAACTTACTGAAAAATAGCCTTGCGTTGGAATTTCCTGCAATTTGCCCAAGCGCCGCGCTCCCGACACCCAGGCACCCAGGAGTCGCGCCCGTTGCGGCCCCATGTGCATGCCCTTCGTGGCCCTGCTGTCGCCATATGTGTCCCCCTCACTGTCCTACGTGGCCCAGTTGCTATCCTCAGTGGCCCCATAGTTGCCTGCTGTGGCCCCGCATTATCTGCACTTCGTGGCCCCCGTTCGTTCGCGCTCACGCATTCCCTTCGTGGCCCCGCTGTCGCCCTTCGTGGCCTACTTCGTGCCCTTCGTGGCCCTGTTGTCGTTCTCTCTCGCTCTTGCTTTCGCTCGTCGTCGCCGTCGTCGTCGTCGTCGCCGTCGTCTTCGACGTCGTCGTCGTC